TTAATAGGCTGATAATGATGATGATACTAATTCACTACAGACTTTTGTCCGAATGTTTTCATACCTTGTTTTATTTTATTTTAGTTTTTTATTATTTTAGTTTTTTTTAATATTCCAACATTTACACCAAGTAGTTTTGTGACGTTCCTCTGCAATTTTTACTAATTTTACTGTAAAAGTTAAAAATTTTCGTCTTATTTTAGAATTTAGCACGATTTTTTTATTTTATTTTATGTGATTCTTATTTTTATTTCACTTTCCAAATTTATTTATCTAATGTATGTTTTTTGCATTCTATTAACAGGTGGAGTATGGTTTCTGCTGTTTCTGCAGCGCATGTGCAGTCTGGTGAGTCTTTCAGTTTAAATCTATGCAGGTATTGTGTGAATGTTCCGTCTATCTTCGAGTCTGGACTTTATCACCACTTAACATAAGGGTAGGATGGGTGGAGTCTTTTGCCTACCTAGCTATAAAAAAATGTGGTAATCATCGATAGGCAATAGCTTCTATAGGCTGATTTTTAACATAAAAAATGATGTGGTGTCGTGGGATACCAGGTAGGAACGAAGTTCCTTCGGCGAATGTAGAATCGACACAAATTGCAAACTCGCTTGTGTATGCGACTGTCGCGCCTGCGCACGTCTCATTTAACGGTTTTATTCCACGCACTTTTTTCCACGGATTTTTTCCTACGGGTTTACTATCACATTTTTTTCAGTTCGGTCAGCTAGTGTTCGTAAAGATTGCTAGGCAGGACTGGCCCACAGTTTATAATAAACTACAATGTCACAATAATCCAGTAATGCAGCCCCGTCGCTCTGCCACCCCCTGGACTTAACCACAGTTTAGTATAATATACGACAATAATCCAGTGTTGGTATAATGCCACAATAATTTGGGGTTGCACCCCCGTCGCTCTGTCACCCCCTGTTAAGTACTGACCTTGTTATCATGTCTAGCTTAAGTTTACAGCAGATGACAGGCGTTCCTGGTTCACAGCTCGGTATAACGTCACAAATATCCAGATTTCGTGTAATGTCACAATATTCCAGTGCTGCACCCTCGTAGCTGTGCCACTATACGCACCTTATTATCATGTCCTGCTAGCGTTCGTAAAGGATGCTAGGCAGGACTGGCCCACAGTTTAGAATCAACTACAATGTCACAATAATCCAGTGATGCACCCCCGTTGCTCTGCCACCCCCTATAACGTCACACATATTCACTGTTGGTGTAGTATCACAATATTTCAGTGATGCACCCTTATCGCTCTACCACTCCCTATAACTTCACACATATTCAGTGTTGGTGTAATATCACAATATTTCAGTGATGCACCCTCGTCGCTCTACCACCCCCTATAACTTCACACATATTCAGTGTTGGTGTAATATAACAATATTTCAGTGATGCACCCTCGTCGCTCTACCACCCCCTATAACTTCACTCATATTCAGTGTTGGTGTAATATCACAATATTTCAGTGATGCACCCTCGTCGCTCTACCACCCCCTATAACTTCACACATATTCAGTGTTGGTGTAGTATCACAATATTTCAGTGATGCACCCTCGTCGCTCTACCACTCCCTATAACTTCACTCATATTCAGTGTTGGTGTAATATCACAATATTTCAGTGATGCACCCTTGTCGCTCTACCACCCCCTATAACTTTACACATATTCACTGTTGGTGTAGTATCACAATATTTCAGTGATGCACCCTCGTCGCTCTACCACTCCCTATAACTTCACACATATTCAGTGTTAGTGTAATATCACAATATTTCAGTGATGCACCCTTGTCGCTCTACCACCACCTATAACTTCACACATATTTACTGTTGGTGTAGTATCACAATATTTCAGTGATGCACCCTCGTCGCTCTACCACCCCATATAACTTCACACATATTCAATGTTGGTGTAATATCACAATATTTCAGTGATGCACCCTTGTCGCTCTACCACCCCCTATAACGTCACACATATTCACTGTTGGTGTAGTATCACAATATTTCAGTGATGCACCCTCGTCACTCTACCTCTCTCTCCTGCCGTAAGGAACTTCGTCGCGCCTGCGCACGTCTCATTTAACGGTTTTATTCCACGCATTTTTTCTTACGGTTTTACTATCACATTTTTTTCAGTTCGGTCGCGCAGCAAAATCCCTATCCCCTCCAAGCCTACCGTAAGGAACTTTCGTTCCAAAAAATATAATATTAACATAGCGAATTCCTATGTCTATGAAAATTATTCCCGGTGCCTACAACTATCGTTGATTCTGAAAATTGCAATTGTATGATAAAAGCCGCGGTTCGGCGACTTACCGCAAACGCTTCTTACACTCGAGGGTACCGAGGGCTAGGCTTCAGAGCGTAGCTCTTGGGAAACTATTGCCGGCAATATATCGCACATAGAAGTCCACAGGTCAGAAGGTCCACGACATCTTCCAGAGAAAGGGTCCTCTCACTTATTGTAACTTAAAAATATTGAGATAATAATAATAATAATAATTAGGTAGCTAGGACCCTGTTCCCGCTGCCGGTTGGCTTATATTTTTTATATTATTAAATGTTTTTATTTTTATAACAATATTTAAAAATGTAATCAATATGGTATACAATAAATAAAGAGAATAATAATTTATTGCATAAAAATATGGTATAAAAAGTATTTGATTATTCTCATGTCTCACATATTTTACTGTTAAACAGCATGCAACAGTTTTTAAATCAAATTAAAATTTAAGTTAAAACATTAAAGAGAGCTGATTGATAGCTGCTTACACGTCGGGGACTCGAAGTAAACTACTTGCTCATTGGTGCTGGCGTCAGCCGTAAAGTCGTACCAACACACAAGGCACAGTGGTAGGCAGAACGAAAATACGGTTTGTCACCTACCCCATACATAAATTAAGAAAGAAAAAAACACAATCTTCCAGTATGTGTTGTCTTATAGAAAACAAATGAATTATATTGATTAAAAATTCTGTTACACTACGGATCAGCAATCTCACTATCAAATTTGGTTAATTGGATTCGATTTTGATCAATTGTTCTGTTTGTTTACTGGCTGCTTCGACATTTATTGCGACATTGTGTCATGTAACGGCTTCATGAATATTTAAATAATGTTTAACATTGGTTGGAACTATCAAAGCTCGGTCATGAAATTTTATTCAACAATAGATTCGGTCATAAACATTAAGCAACAGGATTGAAATTTGGAATTAACTTAACATAATAAATGTGTTAAGTCAATGGAAGTTGAAGTTCACTGACTCGTTACAATAACTATTATGGTGCTTAAATTATAACCATTACCTAAATCATATTATTAGCAGCAAACATATTAGTGTAGATGAAAATTAATAGCCACTTCAGATTTATTATTCATGATGTTATTATACCTACTGTTGTTTCGATTTAAACACAAGGGGGCTCCGCAGAACTTGTGTACTTTATGTGAGCTCGTAAATATGAAATTTACTTAGAAAGTTTGTTAACAAGAAAGAAGTACGTATATGAATACCTACATTACCTAATTACATTCCATTCCGATCCCGGAACGAAAACTTTTTCTGTTATTATGACAGGTTTTAGGGTTCCGTAGCTAAAGGGTGAAAACGAGACCTTACTAATAGACTCAACTGCCCGTCTGTCTGTCACCAGGCTGTATTTCATGAACCGTGATAAATAAACAGATGAAATTTTCACACATAATGTATTTCTGATAATTAAAGCAATTCGTGCTAAATTATTCCCTAACCATTCCAAAATATCAAAAATGCACAACCTTAATATTCAAGTTTTCACTTCTGCCGGCACTCCCGGAGTGCAACCCGTCGTTTTTTACGTGATTGAGTAATAAACCTAAAAACACACAAACTTTCCCATTAGTAATATTATTAGAATATTCTGTCCCCGTCGCATGAGCACCACACATTGACATTATATCACGTTTTTAATCGTCTAACTGTCAAACTCCACAGTAATTTGAGAACATTGAGCGTGAAAAAACGAGCTATAAATCATATCGCAGCGCTAATGCTAGGGGCTGGGTGAGACATGGGATGCTTTTTATCGATAAAATAATAGAAAGTTCCTGTGGGTTTCATAAAAAACTAAAGTTTTCGCGGATGAAGGTATGGGCGGTCGCTAGGCGATAAATAAAGTTACACATTTTGTCGATGTCATCTTCATCATTATCTGCCTCTTATTGTCCTCACTGCTGAGGCACAGACCTTCCCTATGGATGTAATAGAGAGATTGACCCACCACACGGGATCAGTGCGGATTAGTGGGTGCTAACGAATTCAGATGCAGCCGAGACCAACAGCTTGACGTGCACCCCGAAGCACAGATGAGCTCGAAATAGTAAATTTTTGTTCACCCATCCAATGATCGACCTTAACTTCACAGATTGCATTCGAACGCGGTGCTAACCACTGCGCTATCGAGCCCCTCTCTAATGTGAAAATCATTAGCTCCAATGTCAATCATTCATTCATTTATTCAGCTCCATTACAAATTCATTATTCTTTTTTATATAGCGAGGTAGGCAAATGACTCTAACCCACCTGATGTTAAGTGGTGATAAAATCCAAACGCGAAGATAGCTGGTACAGCAGTTATAAACTGTTACACCAACCATCCTCACCTTGCCGGCCTGCAAAAATGCTTCTTCACGCCTTTCTTAAAGGACCCCAGATGGTAGGAAGGAGGGCACACGTGCGCGGGCAAAGAATTTCACTTAAGAATATTACATAGCATTTTTGCAGGCCGGCAAGGTGAGAATGGTTCATCCTCACCTTGTCGGCCTGCAAAAATGCTTCTTCACGCCTTTCTTAAAGGACCCCAGATGGTAGGAAGGAGGGAACACGTGCGCGGGCAAAGAATTTCACTTAAGAATATTACGACAAAAAAATGAGTCACCAATTTCTTTGTTCGTGTAAGAATAGTGGCCGCAGTAAGTCGGTGGCAACGTAGTATACTTACAAATAGACTTATGAAACCATGGATGCTGTTGTAAGCGACGATGAGATCCCGGATACTGCCATCGCAATAATTGCAGGGTGGCTCAAAGTTCTTCGTCAAGTTCAGCTTGCTGCGCCATCCGTCCACAAGCTTCACTAGTGTCCCGAAGTCCAGGGGTTCATGACTGGTGTTCTTCGAAGACTGCTCCTTCAGAGCTGATAGAAACTGCGATAAATCTACATTACTCCTATTCTCACTGTCCAGGTCGGATGCCAGCAGCATCTCCTCGAAGAGGTTGGTCAACGCTTGGGTTATGTTCGACCCTCTGCCTTCAGACGACATTTTTTCAATAGGATTGTTATTGCCAATCTCATGGCATTAATTATATTATTGTTCGGTAGCTTTACAGCAATGGAATACCTGTAAAGAAGAAATTGCATGGTGAGAAAATTGGTAGTCTCATATTGATGACAACTCTCATCTGTATTTATGAAATACCTTAATAATAATTATTCTTCGTGCTTCAAAAAGAAAGTTAAGCCGTTGGTTTTACCTGCATCAGCAGTCGTTAGCACCCATAATCCACACAGAGCCCGCCTGCCAACTTATGTACTGTGTTTACTAATTCTACGAATAATTCATAATTGAAACATTTATTATTTGTTTTTTTTTTGTAGTCAAATCGCTTTTCGATTTTATTATTACTTTAAAATGTGTAAACATTTAAGTCTAAAGATTTAATACGCTTTCAAGTTATTTTTATAGATATCAAAAATAAATAGTTGTTCAGACTTTTTTGCTTAATATTTTCTTATATTTATTAATATCAATTTCTCAGTCTAGACTCTTAATGCATGTTTTGTGATACAGTTTTAAAAGTTATTGTGAGGTAAATGGTTTGGTCGTTGGCCGATTATTTTTCTAATACTATAAATGTTAAAATGTGTTTGATTCAAACAGTAACGCAAATCGACTTATAGGATTTTTGAATATTTATGGCTACTGTAAAAATATTATATAAAACTAATAAAAAAAAACATTTAAAGAATATTATTAATAGCCTATGAAATTGCCGTTCTGCCGTGCTAGTAATATTATTATTTTTTTGATTTCGCTAAGAATTCTTAGGTCAAATTATATTTATTTTTAAAATATGGATATTTTTTTTTGAAAATTGGTCACTTGTTTAAATGTAAGCGTTCTCAGTGCTTTTGTATGTTTTTCGTAATCATGGATACGTTAAAAATTCGAGTGATTTGGAGTATGAGTGGAGTATGAATCGTGGCAGCAAAGCGCCAGAAGCGGCACCACTAACGATCGCACCACCCGTTATTGGTTTGACTGCTTCCGTTCTCGTAATGTCGACCTAAGAAATGAACCCTGTGGTCGACCGAAAAATTGAGTGACAATGAAGAATCAAAGGCGATTGTGCATTCTCAATCTACAGCTGAATTAGCAACAGCTTTCGATGTTGGTATCAAAACAATATTGATCATAAATGGGTGCCTCATGAATTGGATGATTGCATTTGCACTGCTCAAAAGACGCAAAACGAAGGCATATGGAATTTCATTGTTACTTACGACAAAAAAAAAGAATTTTGTTCCACAACCGCAAGCGCTCAGTAAGTTTGGTGGATCCTGGTTCAACACCTAAACAATGCCCCAAACGAAGGAATGCCGGGTTTCATCGTGACGCTGACTCGAGAGGTCCCGGGTTTGAATCCCGGGGGGGCAGATGTTTGTGTGATGAATACGAGCATTTTTACTCCAGTCATGGATGTTTAATATGTATTTTTGTATAAATATACTTATATATGTACTGTATATGTATTCTGTCCGATACCCTAGTATCCCATAACACAAGCCTTACAGTGCTTACTTTTTCAAAAATGATTCGATACCTTTACGCTTCAGCAGAGCATCGTTAAAGAGCACATGGTTCATTAACTTTCTCTCCGTTAACTCTTGTGACTTCCAAATCGAGTTTATATTGTGTGAATTGACTTTTTCAAAATCAAAACAATTTTGAGGATAATTCACAGTTCCTTAGCCACGTTAGTAATTTAGGCCGCTTCCTTAAATCTGGAGCCATAATTGAAATGGAAAATCACCATATCTCGACTAATCGAATATCAAGTTGAAGGAAGTAATTGATAACTACGACATGGAACGGCAGTTCGTGAGCAATCAACGAACCATAGCCACAAACGAGCGACTATAAATTTTGCTTGAAGATGTTAAGCCTAGTTTAAACACAAGATTCTGGTGGAATACCTACAGCCGTCAATGAAAGTATATTAGCATTGATTAGATTCAAAAGATTGTCATTACAATTATCGTAGAGTATAGCAGTAAAAAAATATTATTTGCTATAAAAATGCATATTATCTACACCAAACATGGAACCTGAGAACACATATAATGATAACAACGAGCATACAGAATTTGGTAAGTAATTTTGTCTATTTTGAGTACCTAATTATTCCCAGCTCTATCCCAGGCTGATGGCCATTAAATTCCAGAAATTGGCACTAAAACGAGGTAGTTGTGAAGTGAGTTTAACCCGTTTTTCGTCAGTTCAAGCCTTCAAACAGGCGGGATTAAAGCCGAACTAGGGAGTAACAAGAGCGATTAAACAACAGCTGAGTTAAATAAGGTTTACAAAATTGACGATTTAGAAAGTAAATTGTTTCGCCAGTCAAGTTTTTTGCTTGCTTATGTAAAACATTTATTTACTTGGCATTTTATTAATTAGTGTCCATCACACAAAGGGTGACTAAACTTTTACTTTTATTTATTATGGGATAAAAGACGGTTACAATATGTGTTCTACGACTTAAGACAATTATATGTGGTACCATAAATCTAAAGTAATATTGTAACCCACAACATTATCCACTTATTATTAATTAAAGATGGTGCCTTGCTGATGTTACATTCAGTGAGAGTAAGCTTAACACTGTTATAATCCTTGTGCTCAACCAGACTTTTACCATACATAAAACGTAATTAAACAATTTTCATAAACAACATCAAAAATAAAAAATAACCACACTAAGCGACTTTTAACCTACAAAGTTAATTAAATAACATTCGTAACAAATACAGCGAATGACACTTAAGTTTGAGAAAAACTCTGTGGCTGCTGAGCTCTGAGAAAATCGCTAGTGCTTGAAAACATTGCTCAAGTTAATACATCGGCACCGGGTGTGTGAAGGGGGGTGAGGTGCTTCCATCCCACAATCTCATACCCCGACTGCACTCAGATCGCGCGCGTACTCTATGTTAAACGTCCATAATCGCCATAATTAACGGCATGTCCCATTACTGCGGCCCCAGTAAAATCAATTGTATTATTTTTCAGAGAATAATTAATTTTATTGTCGTTACATCATCAAATGACAGAAATAAAACTAAGTTTGAAATATCCAATACAGGAAATCTCTTAAATCGTTCCATGACCTTTTAAGCAATTTTTTCTCAAAATTTACTGTTATTTAATTAACATTGCAATAGATGATATCCTTTATTCTGTGTCATGCTCAGAATTACATCTGGTCCGATCTGTTATGTTAGAAAACATGAAATAATAAGTACATTATGCAATGAAAATATTATGTTTTAGTATCAATATGATAATGGCCATTACGCAACAATGTCCTTAGAAAACACAATTCAAACATTATTACAAGGAAAATTGAGTAAATAATTAGATGATTTCTTGGAGTGAAATAAGAATGTAGAACACCTGATCTTGTTTACTTTTCTGAATGCATAGTAAAAACCATCATCAACAATCGGATACGTACACAAAGTGTTGCGTACCAAACAATAAGATTTAAGTCATCCATTTTAAAGTAATGAAAGAGACTCACTTTTTTTTCTAAATGGCTTCGCACGGCTTGCGCATTTATCCAATGTCAAGTGTAAAATGTTTACAAATTCTAATAGCACTCGTGGTCAAAGTAATAAATCAAGTCAAAGTAACTGGCAGTCAAGTCAATCCCTATGTTTCAGTACATTTGTGGGGATTTACTGCAATCTCCCCGTGGACATCTTGAGGGAACGTCGAAAGACACTTTACGCTATGTTGTTTCACTTGCCAACACTTGTACATGTTCCCGAACACTTAGTGGTTAATAATCCACCATTATTAGACACTAACATCCGCTACAACACAATTTTAACAAGAAAAACAAAACTGCTAAAGTTACTCTTTCCGATCCCGCCAAAAAGTCCGAGTCTCACTTATTGTATCCTATTTGATAATTTATTTATTTTAAACTTTATTGTCCAAAATACAAGAGAATCTCTCCCAGTCAACCTTTGGGCAAAAAAAAAAACGCGAACGGCGGTATAAAGCTAAATATACACATAAATATTGATATAATAAATAATATTAAAAATATATACGAATTAACATAGATACATATATAAATACATACTACGAAAGGAATACACAATTAAATACATACCACAATTATATTTAAATATATATACACATAATGATGATTAATAAAGTGACTCTTCATCTTAAATTTTGTAGCAGATGAGTGCCAACATTCCTTTTAAATATAAGTTTATTAGGATAATGATTTTGTTTTTTATACTGCGGCAGTAGATAGGCTTTTTATGTTTAAAGAATGACAAATAAGCACATGGCACATGCCATACATCAGGCATAACACATGCCAAAGGTATGGTAAGCTGCTATAGCTTATAGTCGCTTGCTATACCAAAAATATTACTTAAAATAAAACTAGTTTTTACGGGTGTGATACCGACCACACCGCAGCTACGTCATTACCACAACGCAACCACCAGCTACACCATGAACTAGCAGCCGGCCACATTACAAACACTTGTTTTCACTACAAAAGCTACTACAAAGTCACTCTTTATTTGCAAACTAAGTGTTACATACGGTTCTTAAACATGATACATAGCATCTTATGACTTAGTCACCTTGTACAGATAACAAATAATAGATAATTAAACATTTATTATTATGATATTATAAAATTGTATTATATATAATTTGGTTTGAGAGATACCATCATTATAACATAATTTAACAAAACAAAAACAAACGAAAAAAAATACAAATTAATTAAATTTATTAAAGTATTCTTCGATAGAATAGCAGCATTCAGCAGTTAAATATTTTTTTTATTGTTTTTTTTTGAAATATAGGGAGTGTGGCCTGTTCATTCCTTTTTTGTGATGGTAACTTATTAAATATTTTTATAGCCATGTGATAGAAGAGGCTGGTGTTTAGCATCTTTATGCGTGAAGGAGGTATATAACAGCCTGTTTTTGTTTTGAGTGCAAATATTATGTGTGTCTTGAACACGGATAAACTTATTGCGATGTAAAAAAATGAACAAGCAATTATCCAGTATTTAAATCGATGGTAAC